TGAGTACATCCTTTACTTGATATTACCAAGTAACTCAAGTGATTGCAATAAAGTTTAAATATCAAATTATACTCCGACCAGGATTCGTACTTACAACTTTGAAGTTGACAGGCAATAATGCTATCCACTCAGCCACCATGCCACCCTGCTATTGAGAAACCTGCTTTATTAAAGAATCTACACGTCAAAATGTCAAAAGTGAGGCTTACTTGAACAGAGACAGTTCAATTCAAAGAAAATCCTGAGTGATATAGGTAAGCTTTAAATAAACTAACAATGAATGAGTAATATATACTTACTGGGAAAAATCTATTTAAAATAACTTTGATATCGGAAGTACGATTGAAGTTAGGATTTACAGTGTAGTTTACACATTTGTATTTTTGGTTTCCGTTACACATCTAGATCAGATTTTTCAGACAGAAAAGTGAAAACAAGAGGACTACTTTCAATCAGCCAATCTCAACCCAAAAAATCAAAAGGGGACTCACAAGACTCTTTCTAATATTCATGCAAATAATAACATGTTTTCTAATAAGATGAAGACATTATAAGCTTCACCTTTCATTTTTGATTATCCTTTCAATCCCCAGAAAAGTACTAACATATTTTCAGTTTTATTTTCAGCTTGATGAGCACAGTAGTTGATTTCTCCTCCCAATGTGATCATCTTTTATAATTACTGACACTAGAAGCGACAAAAAATAGCCCAACACTTACTCGTTCCCTGTTTAATTTTGAGCCGACTCCAGCGTCAGAGCTCCAGCTGTCTTTAAGTACATTGTAAAACACCCCGGCACAGGAAGCTGTGTACTGTCTTCAACCAAAATACTCTCAAACATTGCCACACAGTTCGGTCTGTCTTGGCTCGAGTGCTTTCTGCTTCCCCGAGCATCTCTCCCTGCGTATTTAGATTGGGAGTGATTTAAAGTCTGCGCACAGGAAGCTGGAGAGATGATGAAATTGCTGTAGCCCGTTTTACATTTTCCTAAACACACATCCATCAATCTTAGTCCCTGCATTATTTGATAACTCTGTGCCTCATGCTTTTAATGCAGCTATCCCCTATGCACCAACAAAGAGGACTCCTGATAGATTTACTGGGAATCTAATCTATTGGTAGTACTTTCTGATGTATTTTCAAAGACAGTACACACAAAGGTCAGCTAATCTCCCCTCCGTAGATGTTTAGACCTGAGCTTAAGGATTTATAGTGAATCTTTTGTTTAGTTGTGCAGAGGGCTTCGTTCATTGTGCCTTGTTCTGGTGGAGTGTGGATATCGAGGCTCAGGAGATAAGAGACTTATGCCTTCCCTGCAATACCCAGAGTTTTGCTTAAGCTAAATAGTGCTTATAAAGTGTTTGATGTAGTTCTTTGGTGAAGTTCATTGGTAGCAAATTTGGTTTTGTTGAATTATAATCTATAATGGTAATTGTCAATATTTGCCATAATTATACAGCAGTATTGACAATAACTGATATCTTAAAATCGGCCAATATTCAGATCAGTTATTAACGATTTAGCAGCCAAAATCACTTGTTTTTCTCTCTTTCTTACAGTATTAAAGTTATAAAATAAATTGTTTGTAGTGACAGAATTGGAAAGTATTAGTTAGTACAGCAGTGCAAATATCACCAAATCAATCCAAGAAAACATCAACCAAATTCCATTTCAGTCCCTGTAAAGGAATTAAAACACATGTTGCTTCTTCACATCCCAAAACATACTCATCCGTGACACCTTTTACTGTCAGGTGAATTTGTCTGATAAAATGCTTTCTTTTGTTCATAAACACAGGTGCTTCCAAGTACTTTGACTTTCCTTCTTCTTGTCTCCGTCTCTCACATCCTGTTGCAACATCCTGGCGCAGCACATTCACCCACACATGCGTCTGTCCATATTTAGGGCCATTTGCATGTTTGTCTGTTTGTTCTCTGTCCAGATGTTCAGGAGCGCTTCTTGTGGTATGATACTTCCTGTTTTGAAGGAAAGCTGTAAAGAGGAGATAAGTGAAAACTGATCAGAAACGATTGACCGCACAAGCTATATTTCAATACTTTAACATAGTACTGTGCCGCTGCAGTGTATATGTTTAGTGTACACAAGCAATAGTATTAAATGGACACATGACAAGGGTTTTTGTTGTACAATGCACTACACGCCATCTGCCAGGAATGTTGTCTCTCATCACTATATTTGCAGAAATACTCACAATACTCACATATTTTGGGAGCACACTGTAATTCAAGGGTAATGTATGGCCAGTGCACTGACAGTTACATATGGTCCCACACACAGAGCAACAGAGACAAACGAAGTCCAGGGGGAAGGGGTGAGAAATTGAAAAGAGAGCCATATTTCAGGGCTTCAATCATATTCTGCTGAACTGACACTATTGTGGATAGTATTATACGGTTGTTCAGCACATGTTTGCTGTGGCTGTACAAAACAGCGCTGTCAGAAAAGGATGTGATGTTATCGCTCAAACGCTTCTAAACCCATGTAAAAGAACAGAGCCATTAGTGTATCTGTAGGGGATTTAGTTTCTGCCTAATGGACACAAGTCGCCTCAGAGAATAACGAGAGTGAGCAGTGAACTATTGCCAATTAAGTTATTTCAACATGCAGTCTAAATCCAGTTTATTAAAGAATTTATCAAAACTATTAAATGTGAGTTAAATGTGTTTTATTTATTTTTATCATAGGAAACTTTATCTCCTCTTAATAAAAGTGTACAAGTTAGAATTCAAATTTTTTAAACAGTAAAAAGTTTCTATTATTTCAATGTTCTTTTCCCCCCACAAGACCATCAACATCTTCAAAATACTGTATAGATGAATTATTCTCCAAAACTTCAAATTTCAAACTTAAATTTCAGATTTTTAAAGCAACCAAAAGTGTCATCTGAAGGGGCTAAATAATAGTACTAGAAAATATACAATTTGTTTTGCATTAATTCCTCCAGAGCGACTTGTGGCTGTCTTTGTCGTACCACCGCACATACAAAGCTTTCATAGTCCTGTGAATGGATATGGCACTTGAGCGCAGGAATTAGTCCCACTATTAGCGAGCGTGTTTTTCCAAAGGTGTAAGAGCAAGTCCAAAAACACGTCCGCGCACTCTTTAAATAAGATGAGTGCAATTCATGTGGTTCTCTGGGGGATTGCTCGCTCTGACAGGGACATTTACATACCTAAATCCCCCAGCGCCTCCATCACAGACCCCCGCTCCAAACCTCATCCCCTCTGCCAGCTGGGACCACCACGACTGGGGCAGAGGCAGCGTAAAAACCCCTTCAAACACATACAGACACACACACGCTTATAACCCGCTTTATCTTCCAGACCGTATCAAATCCATTTGACGCTATTGTTAAACAAAGCTTACGTTTAGACTAATTAAATCAATTAAATGTCCTCTTTGTTCCAGCTTTGTTTGAACATATTGCTCAAGAGAATCTGTGAAAACGCTAGCCACACATTTTCTACACTTCTACACTTCCTAATTTAATCATTTTCCAGCGTATCAAGATTGCTTTTTGCACACATAGCATAAAGTTAACTTCATAACGGCTTCATTATCTTTCTACTTGGCAACCAGTCCCCCAAGGCGCAGGAGTCAATTGTCCATGGGGCCTTTGTCTTTGGCAGAAATCAATCCTGCTTTGTAAATCTGCCCTCACGTCGATGTTTCAGTTCCCATACGGAGAATGCAGTGGGTTTGCAGCTGTTGTTCAGTCTGACATAGCTTCAGCCTTTTTCGTCTCCCTCCTCATTAACGAAGGTTTACTCTGCTCACTAACCAGCTGTGCCCTTGTTTTGGTGTTGGAATTGAGAAAATATGGATTTGCACAGAACAGTGGAATTCTTCTTGACATAATGCGTATATATCTGTGTACTGGCTTTGTGTGAAGACATGATATACTCATCTCATGGATATCCCAGCTGGATTACTAGGTCACACCCACAATTTGGATATTTTTAATAGTATTTATAAAGTTACAATATAGACAGTGAGGTAGATAATAGAAGAGAGTCAATTTAAGTTGAATATCTCGATTAACTTTTGTAAACTGGTTTGTTTATGTTTTTCTTTTGTTATAACAAGATTAAGCTTTTCTGATTTTAAGTGCTATTGATCTGCTCTCTCACGTTTATTGAGTGGCCTTCATTAAAAGCCGTAACTCTTAACACACGTGAAGCAGTGACAGACGTGTGGCGAGGACTGAGGTCAAGGACATTCAGGACCGATGGTCCATTGTGACCTGGATTTATTGTATGTTTACTTACTCTGTACTCATGATTTAACAACCAAATACATTTGAATATAAAGTGATAGAAACTATTTATCGGTAGAGTTACAGATAGAAAATAGTTTTGTTTTGATCCCATCTCTGGAGTGTTTTGTGGCTGATACTGAATGTAGTGTACATCAAGGTTATGAAGGACTGTGGCAAACACAAATAATCTCTGGTGAGGTTGGTTATACTGATGCCTCACCCCAAAAGCATTTTATTTTCAACAAAACGGCGATGGAAAGACACACAGTTGTCTTCTCTTGTTGTAGATCTGGGCTGTGTCATATTTGATTTAGACACTTCACTGACACAAAGAGCAGCTGCTTGCACTTTATTTGATTTTGGAGCATCGCATCCTTTTATTTTGTTTATTATGAAACCATGTTACAAACTTTGATCTACCGTTACAGCTGTATCCTTCCATTCATCCACCATTTTCCACAAACACAAGTGTTTTCTCTCTCTTTGTAGTTTCCATTGTGAAATGTTTGAAGAACATCCCATTGAAAATATATTCATAGTTATGTTCATATTACTCATTGCAGATATTGTCGCTATTTATTTATTTTTTATTATTTTTATTTATTTTTGTTTATGTTTATTTGAACATAGAATACATTTATATAGAAATTCGTTTGTTAGTACAATTTTGTATGTGTGAAGATGTGTTTTAAAATATATATTCTTTCTTTTTCCTCATAGATCCCGAGTCCCAAAGAAAAAGAACTGTCCAAAATGTCCTGGATCTTCGACAAAATCTTGAAGAAACCATGACCAGCCTGAGAGGGGTGCAGCTTGGCCACAGGTGAGCCAAAACCTCACCTTAGGGCATAACTGAGGGAAGATCTGTTCTCTCCCAGGGGCTAACAAGGGGCTCATCCTATTCCACTAGCTACTAACTTGCAATGATGCTGTTGTCTTGTCATTTCTGTGTTTTGGTTTCAGTTAATGCAGAACTGCCTTTGCTCAGTTCTGTAAGCGAACATACAAATGCAATAAGGCTGTGATTAATAGTGCGTGTGCCAGCCTCTTCCTCCAAGCTGTCTGTCACTCAGGGCTTTCGCTGCTTTTAGCTTCACTTCCACATTTGTCCTTGAGAGTTTCCTGCGTCTGTGATCGCTCCTCATATCCTCCTCCTGTGTCCTTCAGTGGTCCACACTTAAAGAGGCTGTCAGCAGGCTGCTGAAAAAGCTTTTCCTTTGCTGGACACACTTATCTAACTTTCATAACCTTGAAATACTCATCTCTCTCCTCTCTTGAGTGGATTCTGGTTGAGGCTGATCGTACATCCACTTATGTTACTGAGCTAAATGCTGTAAAACCCTATAGAAATTCTTCAGACTTTTCAATTTGCAGCTCCTCATAAACATATTTTCCCAACTATCACCCACTCAAAATGGAATGTCTTAAATGTTCATATTTAAATGGAATCAACCCTTGCATGTATTTTTAAATCTTTTGTCAATATTGTGTGAATTGTGCATTTTCCCATGAAGATTATGTTTATTAAAGGAATAGTTCACCGTTTTTACATACTGACATATGTTCTTACCTTACCTTAGACTAGTTAATACGTACTTCTCTCCGTACTACAAGTCACGCTGCTTCTATTGACGGAAGTGAGCGAGAGAGAAGTCTCCGGAGAGAAGTTAGTGCTCCTCAGATTACTACGCCTCACAATATAGTACCCGTTTTATCCGCTGAGAAAATCGACAGTTACATTTCTGTGTTACTATACTTTGCAGTGTAACACGTCACGTAACTATATACATTTAATAGGGAACACTTGGAAGAGTTTGGTAGCTTCTAGCGTGAGCTACCTTTTGGGTCCTATACAGTATACAGAGGAGGCTGCGTTTGTGCTCCCGTTTTTGCTCCGTTTGCATGACAGAGCGCACGGACTAAGACCAGACAGGTACATATTAACTAGTCTAAGGTAAGGTAAGAACATATGTCAGTATGTAAAAACGGTGAACTATTCCTTTAACAGACTGTGTTAACTTGTTGAAACTCAGAATTAAAAAAAAAAATAAGGCAGTATTTTTGGTAAATATTTCCTCCATATTTTTTTTCTTTTTTCTGGTTGGATTTGACAATACCTGATTAATAAGCCAATCCCAGTGAAAGACAACACACAAATGGATAAAGCTATACTGCTTGTCTTCCTGACTCAGTTTTGTTATCAAAATAAAAGTCTGTCGATTTCAATTCATGTATCAATAATCACGATCAGAGATGGGGGGGGGGGGGGGTAAGCTCTTGAGCCACTGGTTAGAGACCCCTGGTTTAGATGATAATTAATTTAACGATTGTGGTCCAAGTCCCTCTGTTCTGTTCTCTCTCAAGCTACGACAAAGGACCCTCGTGTTACGACAGCGATGAAGCTGCGGCCTTCTCCATCGCCAGTCTTTCAAACCGCTCGTCACCCTTGTCCTGGCGCCAGGGTCAGGCCAGCCCTCGACTGCAGGCCGGCGATGCCCCCTCCACGGGGAACACTCAGCCAGACGTCCCCCTGAGCATCAGCCACGCACGGATCCAGCTCATCGAGGCCCTGGACCAGGACCCCGCACTGCTTAAGGGAGGCTACCTCAGCGACAGCGGAGAGAAGAATGCCATCGAGGATGAAGATGATGAAGATGATGAGGACATTGATGAACTTGGGAATGGGTGAGTTTATGAGTTTCCTACTATGACTATAATTAGGGGTAATTTATGACATATATTTGTAATACAGTTAATTAAACGTTCCTAAACAAAAACAATTATAAAAATCCCCTGAAAACATCTTATTACTTATTAGGATCATGCTTACGTAAATGTGCCCAAGTACATGTTTTTAATTAACACTTAACACCATACTAAAAAGCAATATGTTTATGATAGGAAAGTGTGTATATTTTTAAAACTCAGATCTGTTTTGACATGGAGGAGAATAAAACATCAAAAGGAGATAAACACTACTGACTTAAGCTCTTAAATATGCAAATTAGCTGCTACTTTTAAGTTTTAATATTGAAGAATGTTGAAGTGGACATCCATAACAAGATTGGGACTATGTGTTCCATGATTCCAATACCAGTTCTTTGGTGAAATCGCAATTTAAACCACTAAACTTCCTTTTACTTTTATTAAGAGTTGCTGAAGTCTTCACTTAACTAGGACTTGGTCTTATTAGTGGCCTTGTAAAATGATTCCTGCCACCTGCCAGCAGTTACCCCAGCACCACATCGAAGGCGGCGGTTTCTGCTGCAGAACGAAGTCTTAATCGGCTCGTTTCTGATGTAGCACATATTGGCCTTGTGTGTCTGTCTTGACGTTGGCAGCTGTAGGCCCCCTCCTTCAGCCACATCTCTCATCATCAGAAACCAGCCCTTTGGCGCAGTCTTGGGGTGATGTCAGAGTTTCGGGCCCCTCGCTGAGATGATCCTGTCATATTCAGCTGCCAGTTTTACAGCTTGATCTTCGTGGGCCACCCTTGAATCAGCAGAACCCCATTTCAAAGCTTGCAGATGTCAGATGAGGTTATGCCCTAAAACAAGCCAATAACATGCAAGATCAAGAGTATTTATTACCATTTCATTAGGAATGCTTTTTTCTGCATGTCAGAAATTGAGAACCACTTTCGCCTTGTTGATGTTTTTCTGGTTGTGTCTGTACTTCAGGACTTATTTTTCTGACAACATTTCACTTTTGAATCTAAATATCTGTGCTCTCTACTCTTATATTTTAAAATTATCAACATTTTAAAATGATTATTACTTGTGTCGCGAGATGGGTGTGAAGTTAGCCATTACTTCATTAGTTCAGACCTTTCAAACAGTTCCACTTGTTTGTTTATTGTCCTATTTTCTTCCAGCATGAAATATTTCTGCATCAGCATATTGTCAGTCAATTAAAATAAAATTCAAAAGCATTTGCTTGACTTCTATACTTTAACTTTTACCAGGGATTTTATGGTCGTACCTAAACTTTTACTGAAGTACCACTTTTGCTAAAAAAATAAAATAAAATAAAAACCCTCAACAAAGCTTTTCACTTTTTAATGGGTGTGTGACAAGTTGTTCCAGCTCAATGTGATGAGGCTTTGAGCTTTGACCAAAACATGATCTCACCATATTTCTCCCTCTGCGAGTGTTTGCTCAGCCAACAATCTCCAACCTTAGTTGTTGCAATCTCTCCTTTGGCCTGTCCTTATTCATTTATTTGATAGGATTGTTTTGCCAAATATTACTTGCAATATCCAGACTCACTCAATGTTGCACAATGGGTCCTTTCAAAATTCCATCTGTGCACCCGCCCATCCATCCACCACTAGAGGGCAGACTAGTGCTGTACAACAGACTGCCCATAGCCCCACGGCTTATTAGGCATTCTACACTTTCATGTATCTTTCATGTGATTGGAAAGGGTCATTCAGGGTTCATATACTATATTTTATATTACATTTCATAGGATTCTTTGTTATAAGTGATCAATTTGTTTTAATTTAAGCTGTAAACGGAACTGTATTTTACTGATTTTTACAATGGTATATTATTAACCCGTACATTCATACAAGTAATTTAATTTGTTTTATATGTGTCTAGTTAGTCGCAGACTGGTGACTAAAGACAGTGTCATAATAGTAAGTATAGTGTAAGTTTAATTATATAAAGTCGATTTCAATTTGAGTCATGGTGGTCTTTAAAGGTGACTCATTGATTTATGTTGTGAATGAGTCATTCCTTCACCTGATCGTATGAGTTTCACTGAAGTAGTGCCATGACCCGACAAAGACACTCACCTTTGGCATTGTACACGCTCTGACTCAGGGTCTTAAAACAGTTCTCCATTTCCTGCGCTTTAAGACTGGGTAAACTTTAGTGTTGACATCTGGACCAGAGCCCCCTCCTCGCAGCCCCCTCTTCACTCTCACGCACTGGTCATGGTCTACGGGAAGAGCTCTGAGGAAAACATGTGGAGGTGGGAGTGCGTAGAATGGCTGAGGAGGATTATCATAATATTGACAATCCAATGGTCCAATTCTGATTTTGTTGAAATAATAAGGTCTCCCATTACTTTTTATTTGGATTTAATATAATTTAAAAATGTGATACAAAATGCTTGCCAACCGTCAATAAATTTGTTAAGAAAATATGTTTAAACACCTAAATAACTGTAGATAGACATACAACTGTGTGCTGGTTATGGTATGAAAACATGATTGTGTTTTGTAGCTATACTACTGCTGCATTGTGTATCTCCCAAGTGGCGCAAACTCGTTGTATGGGGGTTTTGTGCGTAGAATTCCTCCGGGTGCCTTGGTTTTTGCTACCACTAAAAACATGTGAATGTGCTGAGCTGCTTGCTTCTGTCACCACTGTGTGTGGAGAATTAAAAATAAACCTAAATTGTCAAGCTATTTTAGCTTTCTAAAGTAAAAAGAGCTCAGTTGGGATAAGAAATGAACCGTGTCCTAAGATACAAAGATACATAAGAAATGACCATGAAACATTTAACATAGCTTTTTAATAGCCTTGAAGACCATGACCAAACAAGATGCTGATGTTATGTCAGAGCATAAACATACAGCCTTATGCTCTGTAATGTCCATGCACCGATGCTAACACGGGGCTTGTGCCACACGTGCCCCTCTTTCTGCCCCACTGAGCGCAGACTCTTTGTTTGTGGATGGAGCGACAACCATCTTCTACGACCTCCCATGAGCCAGTGCGTCGTTTCCATGGTGACCCGCCTAGACTAGCTGGCTCAGTCTAATCGAAACGGCCTGAGTTATGAAAGCATTTATTTAGACCTGTACAAAGACACGTGAATGAATTCTATTGAAGCTTTTGACAGTGTCCTGGCTCAGCTTTTTTGTTCAGACTTTAAAAGCAGAACTGAATTAAATAAGCAAGCTGGGAACAGGAACTGAATGAGGAACATTTTGTTGTCATAAATAGTTCCTACCTTGAACAAAATGGTCACAATGGTGACACTTTCCAAACCTTATTGGGGACAGTCAGATCGCACTGATAGCTAAAAAGCATTTAAATAGTTTCAACTCAATAGACCTGGTCATCTGCTCCTCAGGGAAGCCCTCACTCATGTGGTTCATGTGGCCTGTGCCCTTGTTCTCATAGGTCAAGCTCTTGGTGTGTTGACTCCCTCTACTGGTCTTTCACAGAATTTCACAGTTTGCCATATTCATCCGTTGGTCCCAGTTGGTCCTCTTCAAATATTATTCAGATTCAGATTCATTTATTTCGCCATTTGCAGTAACACTACATTGGAATACATTTGTAAAAGTTCCCAGTGTGCACAGGACAAGTACAGACACAAAACAACATTAAAAGACAAAAATAAAACAAATTTTAAAAACAGTAAACAAATATCACCGTGAAGTTGACCAACTTAAAACTTTGAGTTTTAAGTTGGTCAGTATACTTTGAGGAGGTGGCCGCCCGTGTTATTCCATTGAAATAAAAACTCACTAAGCTTCGGAACCTTAAAGATGGAAATAGTTTTACTTCATTCTGTGGAAGAATATAGTCAAAGGAACAACATTTCCATGGAAACAAACTGTAGAGGCCAAGAATAATGAGTTGGGTTTGTGGAAATGCAATCCTTCGCACAGTTAACAAATTTGTTTATTACATAAAACCCACATTTGTATATGATAAGGTTGCAAACTGTTTGTTTTTAAAAGTACAGTACAGGTCATTAACAAAGACATCATTCTAGCTATTCTAAAACAAAAGGAATAAAAATCAGAGCATTCATGTGTTACTTTCCCACCATGTCCCACTCTTTCCTGTTCAAAGCCAATGACTATGAACACAGCGTGTGACATGTCTGATTAATGCTTACTCTCTCTATCATCTGGATCTGATTTGAACCAGAGGTGATGATCCACTTGTTCGCTGACTCACTCATTCAACTTTCCCTTTCACACACACATACCACCCCCCCACTTACACACACACACACACACACATACACCCCCCCACTCACACACACACACACACACACACACACACACACACCTCCTGAGGGGCACACCCACTCGGCCGGGGCTTCCCTCCCGTCAACAGCCGTGCGATATGACTCATGCTATGGTCCAGTTACAAACCTTCTCCCCAAAAACGTAACGGTATCGTACTTTCACAATAAAAATGTGAAGCGACCTCAACATAGAGGAGCGTAGCGTGAAGAATAGTGCTTTTCTCAGCCCTGTCCAACATCATTTCACATGCTTTAATAGAAAAAAATGCTCTTTATATCAGTGTTCTCAAAATGGACTTAGAGCTGGTTGGCTGAGTGAGGAGGATCATCACCTTTTTCACTTGTCTGTCTTTCTAAAATGTGACAGAGGCCAAACTAGTGTATGAACCAAACTTTTTTGAGAATGAGGAACTATGAGGACTTTAACTTCCACATGCTGTACCAATGAAAGAATATCCCACATTTTAAATGAGCAAACACAATACAATGTAATTCTCCTCACCGCTCCTTTAATGTCATGATATAGATCCATACTAAAGCAACAAGATCCGGTCAAGTGGATATCCATTTTGACCTTGATGGATGTCTGGTCATACATTTTATCCTAACTCAACTCACATATTATTGATTTAATATCGAGTTAATCTAATTCGCATTGGTCATAGCACTAGACGAGAAGACAT